AATCATGAAAATGATACCTATATTACGGCTCAAAAAACCTCCAGTCCATTCAAATAGTCTTGTTGTTGAGCATAACATGATTTAGTGTTTTAGCACTTATCAAATTTAATATCCAAGGCAGACACACTGGAAAACACAAGTTTTGTTTAACAGAGTTAACTGTTAAGGTATTGTCTATTTATGTAGATCTTATTTTCCTCATGTAACTCAGGCCAGCAACTGCTCTTTTAAAACATCACTGGATATAAAATAAAACCTATGACTATGATTCAACCCTATATGATTCCCTGCAGGGATTACTCACATGGTATCAAGCTGCCTCATTAGTTGAGTAAGCTAGTACAACCTGAGTATTTTATATCAATGAAACCCTTAACTAGGTCCAAATATTAATCACCACATCAGCGGATTAAGAGCAGGGGTCACAACAGGGATCTACAAAGCTACTACATGGAAAACGTTTCTGCTGGCTATGCTGTATTTATACATATTTCTCACCCAAGTCTCAACTTAAGAGCAAAATTAGAGAATATGCACGTCAGCTTTTATTTAACATTTAAAAAGGTTCAAGTGAGCTGAACCTGAAGGTTCTGAAATCTTCCTGCTTTATAGGAGGTAAAAGTGCAAAGTCACTCTCACTGACAAGAATATCAGCCTGAGAAGGTCATTCTCTCAAACCACTCAGAGGCAAAAAGGAGGAAGCATTAGTATGCTCCTCACACTGAGCCAGTAAAAACAGCAGCATGCAGCATTTTCTTATTCAACAAAATCACTGGATGTTTTCTCTGAACAGTGGGACTAAACCACAAAACTGTAGCCACGGCTCTTACAGCTTTAAAAATAAATCTTGCACTACAGATTTTACATCCACCTCTTCTCACTGATAAGACAGTTTTCTTATGTTCTTATGTTAAAGCTGATATTGCCTCTTTTTCCTTTAAAGAGAGGGCACTGAGACAAATCTGCCACAGGCGCATTACACAAGCACGCATTGACGTGTGCATAGCAAACATGATACGCTACGACAACCAATGGCAAAGTGCAAAGTTCCTCAGGGCCTATGATTTATGTTCCAGCAGCAATATAAGGTTTTGAAAGAATTACCGTTTTCAGACGGTAAAAATGGATCAAATTATTTCAGATGAATCCTCTGAGGTGCCGTGTCAGTAACACGACCCGTAGACTGAATTTGTGGCTAACAGGAGACGAGCCTCCTCCCTGAAAAATGGTGAGTCATTTACACCACAAATTCCTCACAGACTATGATTTCAACCGCAGTTTATGTGAATTCTTGACAACATGGGAGTGTCTTTTTTTTTCTCCCTGTAAATTGGTCACTTCCACTCCAGTACAGAGGGAGAAGCTGATAGATTTCTGTTATTTTCCTCTTCTCCAATGTGATCATAGTGTTGTTAATTAAGTCTCACCTTATCCCAAAGATGAGTTCTATAGCACGTTTGTAGAGAGCCGCCGCTACTTCCTGCTGTGAAAACATCCAGACAAACAACCGACGGGTGACCCCCACAACAGCAGTCACTGAGCCTTTTTTACAACATGTCCTGATTCAGATTTTACTGATAAGATTGAAGAAATAAACAACCTTTAATGTTTACACAGGATTATCTATTGGACAACAATCTAATCTTGAGATACCATGATGACATGATTGAATATGTGATCCACCAGCATTTATCACAAAAATCTTGGAATATATTTTTCTATTAGGAGTTTTAAGAATTCTGAATCTGTTTCACTCTGTTGCTTAGTAAAAAGAAACCAAGGCACACTGGGCTGTGTTTCAAGAGCAACAAACCTCTCCGGCATGTTAAGGGTTGACATTTTGAGGTATCCGCATGCTAAGCCTGGAAGAGGTTGGGCTCATTGGTCTGCCAACACGACCCTGGGAGCTGCCACTGCCTTGTCGACGTTGAGGGGATTTGTGTCAGTGCTGGGCCTTAAAATACCACGTCTCTCCCCCCAAACCTCTGCCACTGTCTGCACACTACTCACTCTTTGTCTGACACACCAACACAGACTGTTTTTCTCTCCTTCTGTCTGTGTAAAATTATATGCGTTTCAGTTGTTTATTTGTATTTTTGTTTTCTGGGTAATTTAGGCGTCAGACTGCGGATATCTTGGTATTCTGTATTTGTAATGTAAACAGCTGCCTCTGCTGGCCTACAGGGAATGCTACGACCATCACTGTAACAATGACTCCTGGTAAAAGTCTTACATAATTACGTGCTTGTAACCAATGTAATCAAAACCTTTTCATCTGCAACAATGACCTTTGGTAAATATATATATTTTTTATCTAATACAATGTTTATACCTAATGACTGGTGTTTGAGTGAGCAGGTAATTACAGCAGACAGACTTCATAAGGTCGTGATGGCTGTGTATGCTAAGCCACAACTATCCACTAATCTGTGGAGCTGTACTCCTCAAAAACTGTGCCACAATAATTTTAAATTTAGATCATCACGTCTCAAGTAGCGTAACACTACTACTAGCTTATTGTTTTAAGGAGCGTTACATTACAACTAGCTTAATGTCCGAGGTAGTGTTGCATTACTACTAGCTTAATGTCTTTAGTAGCGTTACATTAATACTAGCTAAATCACATAAGTAGCGTTATATTACCACTAAATTAATGCCTTAAGTAGTGTTACATTACTATAAGCTTCATATCCTAAGTAGCATAACATTAGTACTAACTTTGTCTTCAGTGGTGTTACACACAGAGTGTCTATCATTGGTAAAACTTTCCATCCAAATGGCTGTTATTTGATTGTTAGAGAACTCTCAAATATCACGTTTTTATTATCGTACGAGTGCTCAGATTACAGGGTATGAAATACAATGTGATGTCATCAGACAAAAGCAGAGGGCATTGGTTCAATGGTGTTTTCTTTATGCCCCCTCCCGTTCCTTTTTTGGCACTCTATAGTTTGGGTGATGCAGACATAGATTACAGGGATCCTGTTGTTCATTCATTCCCACATGGCTGAAAGGCGGAGGTGAAAAGCAGCTGTTGGTTGGCATGCTAAATAAAACGAGCTCACATGCTGTGCATGCCTAAACAGCTCTATATGAGTCCTATCAAGCAGAGAAGTGTAGGGCTGCTCCACTTCAATGCTAATCAGGATGACTCTTTATCTTTGTGGTCTCGTGTTTGTTGCTATTCCCTGGTATTCAGCCTACGTTGGTTTAATTCACTCCAATTTTGTTCTTATTTGTCAATTGGCTTCACAATAAGAGACGTTTGTGAGCTTTTTTGGGACGGACGAGGCAAGAGGAAGGCAGTTACTATGAGAATACATTGGCTAGAGATTTTCAACTCTAGCCAATGTATTGCTGTTTTCTTATTCCAATTTAATCATAATTAACAAGTGCTCATTTTGTATTGTATAAAAGCCTAACCAAAATCCCCCAGATGGTCTTTTCTGTTTTAGAAATAGTCAAGGTGTTTAAATGTTACAAACACAAACCTGCGGGAAACTCACAAACAGCAGCACCTCTAAATCTCATAATGAATTAATTTGTGAGTAAAAGTCATATGACGACAAGAACAGACACTGAAGACAAATGAGAGCCACTTTAAAGTGACAATTATCCTCAATAATGATACAAACAAACAGGTTTGATTAAATACAGTCATCAAAACAGGTCAAGGCACTTGGACTCCGACGAAGACTGAAGACACTGCTGGATGTTAAAGCAATAATGCACATCACTACCTGTGTTCTCTATCTGTATCGTTCACACCCCCTCTTATAACAAACACTATGTCATTTAAAATCACTGAAAGCTCCCAGCAGCCTCCACCCCACAGAGCCTGATCCGTTGAAATTAGGAAGAAGTGCAGCTCCATCACTCCAAAACACTACCTTTTTCAGCCAAACTGGCAGATTTCTGAGCGTGAGTGCACGCAAAGGACTGACTTGGACGGTGAAAGGGAAGGGGGCAGGGGGGAGGCATTTACTGTGTGGGAGGCAGAGAAAGAGGGAGTGCAAACATAGTACTGGTGTTGGCGTTGAGCCATGTTTATGTCACCAGCAAAAGTAGTCCTGTCGACCCCCACCCCAGCCCTTTGCCTTGCACTCACTCTCTCCCACTTTGCTTGGAAACAGAGTCAAGGGGTGATTGGCTGTGTACTTGGTAACAGAAAAGAGCTGCAAAAGAGAGAAGGACAAGGGTGACTCACATTCAGCCCACGGCGGAGCAAATATATATAAAAAAGGTTTTGAGATGGGGGGCACTCAACAGCAGGGACCGTGCTTTGGGAATGTTGATGAGGCAGGGACTTATTTTGTTTAGTTTCACCAAGTGAGCCAACAAGCAGCACAGGAGATGTGTGGGCGATTTGTACTCTACATGCCAGCAGAATGACTGAGCGTGAGCTGCTTTGAAGATTAGGTGTTTGCATTATTTCGTATGCATGACAGAGAATGAGGGCAGTGTTTTTAGACCCAGCAGAACCTGATAGTACCGGTGATACATCTTAGAATGAAGTGATATGAACGCAGGTTTTATCAAAGGGAAGAAAACTAAGAGGGTCTAAAATTTCACTCCGACTGCAATGCAGGAAAGGAGCCAAATCTATTCCCAGCTGACAGGGCCGGCATAGAAAGTGCTTTGTGTCATGTGGCATGTTGTTGAGAGGAGATAACTCTGAGCAACAAACTTCTGTCTGCACACTCCGCAGAATACACAAATAAGAGACACCTCAGAGCGGTCTGCCAACCACTGCTTGTGTGCAGACTATTATAATGTACCATCACTGATGCAGTCAGAACCATTAACTGAGGAACTGAGGAACTCATAGCACATCCAATTATTACTGAATGGAAAAAGAAGACAGTGGAATAACATTTAACCTGTGCACTTCCAATGAGGTACAGTCATGCAACCACACAGGGTTTAAATAAAAATAATGCTATGCTACCTTTTGTTTTGGTTATTTTCTTGTTAAAAAAGAATTCTCCCACTCCACTTACCATCCTCGGTTTCTTGCCACACGATACCTTCCAGATTGACGCTGGTACCAGGTTCGCAGGGCCCTAAACACTCGGGCTCAGTGGCCAGGGCCACATCAGAAGTGTTCACGGCCACGGAGCGCGTTCGCACCATTATCTGCTCACATGGTGAGGCAATCTCACTGTTACCGACCGTAGCCAGGAGGTGGAGGGGAGGAGGGGCTGGTGTGGAGACAGGAGATTCCATCTGTGAAGAGAAGAAGTGGGGGTTGAGTGAGCAGGAGAAAAGAAACACACATGAGCCACTTCAGAACGACTGTATAAACATGTACTGAGCAGATGTTGAGATACAGCCAACGGATGCCACCGTGTCAGGAAATGAAAATAGTGCTGAGCGCATGAAAGACATCCTGGTATTTTAGCAGCCCTTCAAAAGCACTTTTTAATCACTGAAGGGCTGATGTAGCAGTTAAGTGTTGTAAAATGCCACTTTGCCTTTCCCTCAACCTTAGAGGTGATTAGCGGGTGGGGGAGGCACGGACAGACATGTTCTCTGCACACTGCCTCTGTGGAAGGACAGAATTAGTTATGCAGGTTGGGTCACACCATCCCTCCCTGGTCCCCCCCCCTCCCCCTCCCACCAGGGGGGTGAGGTGCTCACACCGCAAACACTTCAAAAGCACTTTTTAATCACTGAAGGGCTGATGTAGCAGTTAAGTGTTGTAAAATGCCACTTTGCCTTTCCCTCAACCTTAGAGGTGATTAGCGGGTGGGGGAGGCACGGACAGACATGTTCTCTGCACACTGCCTCTGTGGAAGGACAGAATTAGTTATGCAGGTTGGGTCACACCATCCCTCCCTGGTCCCCCCCCTCCCTCTCACACAGGGTTGAGCAGGTTCCATGACACCAAATTATCTCACAGATTGATCACTCATTAATTCTCTCAATTAAAGAGCTAGTTGTGGCAGGGAGCTGGCTGCTGAGGGTCAGTAATTGATTTCACCTGTTCTGACACATTGTGACAGCAAGTGGAAGTTGTTGGGCCTTAGAAGGAGAAGAAAATGAAGGAGACAGCATGACAGAGGGATGATGATGGGTGGAACTGAGGGGAAATGCCAGAGAGAACAGGAAGTAAGAAAAAAGGTAAAAAAAAAAAAAAGAAAAGAAAGAGGAAGACTGATGTTGGGTTAATGACCACAGTGACAACAAGCTTTGAGCTCTTTATTCAAGGCAGTCAACACTAAAGCACTCCAAGTCATTAGCAATAAACTGCGAGAGAATCCCCACGCTGCAGCCAACAGCAAACATTTAATAATTGGACAAGAACCACCCTAGGCATGGAAACACACAGCCAATACAGGATTCAATTAAATGTTTAACTGAGTGGACAAAATAAGAACTGACACTTTGGTTGGTAAGCTGCTAGATCCTACAATAAGTTTGAAAAGCGAATTTTTTTGTAAAAAAAAAAGTTAATCAGTACATTCAAAGTTAAGTCTTAATACCAAATACTCATTACGTAAAAGAATAGAATAGAATATAAAAAGGCTGAAGCACTCAACCACAAATACAGAAAGTCCATCAGTGAAACTAGAGATGATTGACTGACTGGGCAGTGAATGGAATCAGCCCATGTCGACATGATCGGTCCTGACCGTCGGAGCACATCTTGCTGGTTATGCACATGCATTCTGTGTTGGAGAACAGGAGGCTGGAGCTAATAAGTCTTTAGCTTGGAAGTTCTTTACAGTCAGCCAAGAAAACTCTGATCTCGCTTTTTGTAATATACCACAGAATCACTGTCTACACCCATCTACAGAACACCATCATCCAGCCAAACCAGCATTTTATTTATTCAGCAGTAGAGAGGTGTTCCAAGTCTTGTAAGGGTTTGTTTACTTTGGCGGCATGTTTGGTAGTTGAGAGGAGAAATCGTCTCCCAGGTGAAAAGGCAGAAATATCTGTGTTTGTCAAAGACAACTTGCCAATAATGCTCAGGAAACAGCCCATTACCTCTGTAGATGTTGGTGACTAAACTTTGCCCACTGCACTACATTTTGTAATTATAGGAAAATTAATTTCCAGTCAAGGAAAATAAAAGCTGCATTATTCTTATTTCTTCTAAGTTATTGAAAATAATGTACATTGAAAAAATAATAATATGTTTTGATATGCAGACTTATTGAGTTTTATTTTTCAGAAGGTTGAACTTGTGTTGAACTGACGGGAGAACCATAATCATTTATCTCTAAGAGATTCTGTTGCTAAAGTACAGACGTTCGTTTCTCTAAAATGTTCAAAACCTAAACCACTAGGAACCTGTCCGTACCTGCCTAACAGATCACAGAACCTCAAATCTCATTTCCATGCATGCTAAAAATATGAGCTGTGTTTATGACAGTGCCAGACAACTCAGCCGAGGACCACAGCTGACACTGGATGAATTCCAAACAGGGACAAAAAGTATCTTTAAAAAGGTACTGAAATACAAAAAAGAAAGATGGGGAAAGAAAAGTGATGAATGCATCTAAAATGTGGGCATTTTCAGATAGTTCTCATAAACAGTGAACCTTGCAGCGAGTGTTGTGGCTGTACCTAAATAGTGAAAAGCAAGGTGGCCAACAAATCATTTAGAAACTTAGCAGCAGCCTCTGATTACTGTCAATTAGACCTGAGCTTTATAATCCACAAGTAACAGACGTGCGCGTTGGTGGCACATTTGAGCTGCTGCTGAGAAGACGAGCCGACGAATGTGCGGGGAGAGCAACAGAGTCGGGCCTAACGACATCATAATCACGGTCTGTCACTTTCTGATGCATGATGCAGTCAAGCTGCAGGCTGGCTGAGTGAATGAGACAGGACAGGTAATCACCTCAGCTGTCACCACACACTGTTACAGGCCTTATGGAGACACAGAGGGCTCCAGACAAAAGCATACAACCAGCCCACGTCACATTGACAGCCAGATTAAAGTTTCAAATAGGTTCCCGCGGAGACTTTTTCAAAATCAACAAAATGTCTGTATTGACAATTCAACAAGCGTTGGGGGATTTTATCAAATGTAAACTTGAATTCAGAGTCAACATTAGTTTGTTTTTCACACTGATGATTGGTCAAGTGTAAAACTGAAGTAATTATACATATTATAGCATTAAATTATGTTTATAAAACTACCTGTTTACCAATTTGCGTCCATTCCTTCTCTCAGTCTGTCTCTGACTTCATTAGGCTCCGCCCAACCAATCACGCTGAGCAACAACAGAACTAACGCAGGGAAGGCTCATTTTGAACCAAAGGTTCGAGCCATTTCAACTCTCGTCCATTACTTGCATCACAACCATAAAGTGCAGTAGTAAGTGTGTGTGTTAAACAGCACGCTGTAACCTAGACTGTGAAGCTTCACTGCCTCACCCCTCCAAAAAAAAAAGAAAGAAAGGGTGAGAAATAGGACAATATTACAGAAGCAGTGGTGAATTAAAACCCTTGACACTAGATATAACTCACGTATCATAACAACAAATTTTTGTACACAGGAGGAAGCATTTGTTTAGCACATTAATTTTATTTATGGCATATTTTCATTTTATAGTTATTTCATATTTCAGTTTCAGTTTGTTGTTTTATTATTCAAATGTGGGTTTCTTTGAAGTAAAATAAAAAATCTAGTTGGAATAATTCTCTACATAGTTGTCTGAAGCTATATGCGGCCCAGTTTGTGCTGAGCTGGGCTGCTGCATGCTTCTGTCTTCTGTGCAGCTCTTCCCTCATCTCTGTGAATCTATTTCAGAGGTGGGAGTGAAGTGCAGCTCTGCCACAGCTTTACATTAAATTAATTCTGTGGGAAACATAAGCTCTCACGAGGGAGTGAGTGCTGCAGTTATGACGGCAAAATTAGTATCAACAAATTATCCATGTGCACACACTTAACGACACTATTTTGGGAACGGCAGTCAGACTGCTTGTTAAAATAACCATCTATCTGCATCACTGTGTCACTAACAGCAGACATTGGCTAGAAGGCCAAGGTCATTTGGGACAAGTTCTTTGGACGAACATATGAGGACAACAACTCTCCCCTCATCCACGTTTAATTTAAATGTGTCTGCACATTAACATAATAATTATAATCACCTCCTTGGACTGTGAAAAGCACCCAGAGACTAAAGACACAAAGAAAACCCCCAACATCAGAATAATGTTTCCAGATGAAAACAACCTGCAGTCGGTTCATTTATGGTAATAAACTCACAATTAACAGCAACCGTTATCTGCTGCTTTAACAAAAGCATGTTTCTTCCACTGCTGCCTGGTATTGTGCACATTTGAAGATTAGAGCTGCTAACAAGGACAGCAGAGACGGCCTGGCTGCTTGGCTGTGAACATAGTGTTCCTCACTGGTGGAGCCTTTTGTTTTCATGCCTGAGAGAAGTCACTGACGTGAGCAAAGCAGAGACGCAAATGCAAATCTGGGGCTTAAAATACAATCAGGAAGTGAACACGGACAGTTGTGTCTTTATTTTGAAACATCTCCATTTCTCCATTTTCAGACAAAAGCAATGTATTCACATTTACAAATATGTGTGTTGTGAATGCAGTGATTTCCTTTGTGGTCTCCTTTGTCTGAATCAGTGACTTTCGACATAAAATTTTTCAGTTTACTAAATACTTAGGTAACATTTACTGAATGCATTACAGCACCAACAAATACTAAACGGTGGCTTCTTTATCAAAAATAGACTTAATATGATCCCCATGATGCTAATTATTTAATCCATTTAAAATGTGGTAAACAGCAGCAGAAGAATGAGTCGCTTGCATTTACTATGAAACATTTAAATCTTATCGGGCCAATTTTGATTCACAGCCAAGATTCTGATCTAAAACCTGTTGTAATCATTGCTTAGTTCTAATAACCTGGTGACAGGTCATAGATACGCTTGAAGGAAGTAATTGTGGAGCTGTCAGGTTGATAAGGACTAACCTGGTGATTCTTCAGTGTCAGAGCTTTAATGATTATTATTACAAAATATGAAGACGTTTATTCGTTTGATTTCCTGGGAATTCTGCAGATACGTGTTTTCTCTCTTTGAATTAATTTCTGTTTTAATAAAGCTTGAAACAGAAATATTTACTTCCGAAAGTGAAAATTAAAAGTGACAGGCTGATCTGCCACCGCTTCACAACAAAGAGACAATTAACGACAGGGTGTAATTGCAGAACTGATGACAGGTGAATTTAAACAACGT